GCTTACTAAATAGTAGAGGCAGTCTGCTGCTAGGACGTCCTTTTATTTAATTTTAAACGTTTCTTACCTTGCTGTTAAAGTAAGGTTAAGCGAGTTTTTAGAATGCATTTAAACGTCTAATAACGCGGCTTTTTTGTTACCTTAAAGTATAAAAAAGCAGGTGTATTCTATAATTTAAGACGAATTTATCTGCACTTATAAGACTACTCGTACCTTTTTAGCTCTTTTTTCTTTAATTCTGCTTACGTAGTAGGTTAATGTAATAGTTTGCAACTTTGCGTAGCAGCTAGCTAATAATCGCTTATAGATAATATCTAACTAAAGCTACTCTTAAGTCTTAATAGACTTTTTTATAAATATAAACCTTATAAAACGCCTTTTCTAGGCATATATACTATCTTTTAAGAGCGTAGGTCTTTGCTAGCATAGTGCTTGCTAAGTAATAGCTAACTTTATAGTAAGCGTTATGTTTAAACTACGTCTTCAAGGCTTATCTAGACGTTTACTATAAATTTTTATATATAGCTACGCTAAAGAACCTAGCGCGCTACGTTAGTTATATAGCTAATAACACGTTATACTTACTAGTAAGTACGTTAACTTATATACGCTAGTAGCTAATTACTAACTAACAGCTCTCTAAAGAGATTAAAGGCTTAGCTTAATACATTTAAGAATTTCTAGCCAGCACAAACAAGTTACTACTTTAGCGGATAACGGTTAATAATATCGTTGTAGCGCTAAGCAATTACGCGGCAATCACCTAAGGGTTAATAGCTTTAACGGCAGTAACTAAGGAACTTAGCTGCGCCTTATAGGAAGATAAGTTAAAGCCCCTAGCAACTAACTAGCGCTCTTAGCGCGAACGTTTTAAGACGGTATAATAGGCTGTATTACGCCTTAGTGTCTTTTACTAGTACTAGTAAGAGCTAGAGCTTACCTTAACGCTTGCATAGTAGTTAGCAAAGGTAGCCTAGCTCTTACCGCTAACGTTCTTAGACGTAGGCATACTATTATAGGCGTAGACCTAAGTTACTACTACCTTTAAAGTAATAGCAAGTCTTTTTATCCTTATTATTAAGTTATTACTAACCTATTACCTAGGGCGATCTTTATTCTATTATGCTTAGCCTAGCCTAGCGCGCTACGGCTGTTTAAGCCGGCTATAGCGGCACGCTTTACTATACTATAAAAGTAGAGGGGCTGCCTAAGCGGATCTTATAGACTATAGCGGCCTTAGTTAAGCTAGCTTAGATTAACTAGGTAGTAGTCTTTCCTTAGCTGCTACCTTTAGCGGCGCCTAGCAAGCAATAGTCTTGCACTAAGTTGCTAACCTTAGCTAAGCGCTAGTATAGCGTTAAGACTATTCTTAGTGCTATAGCTAGCGGTAGTAAGGCGGTTATAGCAGCTAGTAGTAGTAGTATAGTAGCATTTAGTAGAAGTGCGCTAGCAAGTAGCTAGTTAACAGCTAGTAGTAGCTATATGCTAGCTAGTAAAGGCTTGCTTAGTAGTAAGAAGAGGAATAAAAAAGACAGTGTTAAAGAGAAAGATAAAAGGGTAAAGGGGACGTTTACAAAGAAGGATAGTAACGAGTAGCTAGTAGCTAAGCGATAGCCTACTAATAGTGTATTTTAGGTTTATAGCTTTAAGTAGCGCCCTTAAAGCTAGAATAAGTAGTTTATAGTATATAATTATATAAAAATAATAAGAGTAGTTAACTAACGATTAGCTTATATGTAGCTAGCTATTACTTTATAGTCTTTTTATTTCTTATAAGTGCGCTTTATAGTCTTTTAGTAAGACTGCACCTTATAGCTAGCGTGCGCTAGGTACTTTTCTAGTTCTTAGGTATTATACTTAGCCGGCTAGCCTTTCTATTTTACTAAGAACTAGGTTTATAACCCTTTACTAAGGTAAGTAATAATGTCTTTAACCTTATACTCCTCTTAGTCTTTTACTATTTTTAAAAATAAAAGCTCTTTCTTAGCTTTTACTATAGCGGTTTACGGCTTAAAGCAAGAGACGTAAAACACGTTGTGTTAGCGTGCGTACTATAATAGTAAGGCGACCTAATACGTAACTAGGCCTAGCTTCTTTATAATGTAGATATGTAAAAAGGTTAGGTTTAGCTTCTTTAAGCTGGCTAGGTTTAAGTGCTTTATTAACAAACCTATAAATTTACCTTTAATAAAGTCTTTATATAATCGTTGCTTGTTATAGCCCTTCTTTTGTTAGCAAATCGCTTTTTCCTACAATACTTCTAGCTTTCGCCGGACAGCCTATAGCCGACTAATACGCTTTTATACGCCCTTTACCGCGGCCTTAGTAAAGAGGAAGTTGTTTATAAAACAAGGGTAGTATACGTACAACGCATAGAATAGAGAGGTCTTTGTTATAGTGTGGCGGGCGTTGTTATACGTAAACTCTGCCGTACTTAACACCTGCGTTTACTAGTATTATAAACGACTATAGAACGTTTGTAGAAAGCGCTGTAAGGTCTAGTCGCTACTTGCTATCTACAAGCTAGGAGATAATGCTAAAGATAGCGTAGCATAACGCATTTATTTCTACTTATATAAGCTTTGTGTTATTATAGTAGCAAAGAATTATTACTATTATAAATGCTATTTTTAGCGATTTAAAAGTAACCTTTACCTCTTTAGTTAATATAAATAGTTGCATAGCAACGGCTTTACGCTTACATAGCAGACTAGGGCCTATCTTTATTAATTCTATTAGGGCCTATATAATATAAGAGTAGTAGAAAATAAAGCGTCTATAGAAGTTTACAAACCTTAAGAAGGATTATACATCTTATACGCACTTAAAGGCCTTTTATTTAATAATAGCTTTAACCTACTTAGGGTTTATAGCTGGCCTCTTTATAGTAACAACAAACTTTAAGAAATTAAATTCTTCTTTAAAGAATTTATACTTCTTAGGATTTGCATATAGCTACGCAGCCTTTAGACGCTTAAAAACTAATTAAAGGTGCTTCTTATACTTCTTCTTAGTTTAAAAGTAGATTAAGATATTATCTAGGTATACCTTATAGAGTATACCTACTAGCCTTACTAGTGCGTAGTAAATATATGCTTAAAATGTAGCTAGCGCGTTAGTTAGTCTAAAGGGTATAATATAAAACTTAAAGAGCCAATATTTCGTTTAAAAAGCAGTCTTTTACTAATTAAAGGCCTTAACCTAGATCTTATAGTATGCTTTCTTTATATTTACCTTAAAGAATACCTTTATACTATCTAAGCAATCTAATAGCTTACTAATTAATAAGAGAAGGTAGCAGTCCTTCTTAATTACTTAATTTAAACCCTAGTAGTTAACGTATATACTTAAAGTACTATTCTTTTTTAAGACGAAAATTACTAAGGCTTTAGCTAGACTATTGCTATAAGCAATCCGCCTATTTGCTAATAACTTATTAATAAAGCGGTAAAGCTTCTCTTACTAGGTAAGAGATAGCAGGTATAAAGGGCTATATAGCACCTTTACGCTATCTTTTAGCTTAATTAAGTGCTTTACGTCCGCTAATAAGGGTAGTTCCTTTACCTTGTTAGTATTAAACACTTTAGCAAACGATTGTATATAAAATATTAGTAAAGTAAAAGAATAATAATAAAACTTAAAGTATATTATTAGTATCAATATTACTATTGCTATTGCTATTGCTATTGCTATTGCTATTAGTAGTATTATTATAGTAATAAAGAAAATATAAAGTAAAGAGAGATAAAGACTAGTATTTATATATTTTATATTATAATAAAAGCTTTAAGAATAATTACTTATTAGTTACTACTATAGTACTTTAGCACTTGTGTAATACTAGTACTAGTACTAGTGTTAGTATACTACTCTAGTTATTAATAGTACTAGTACTAGTAGTAGTACTGCTAGTATTTTTCCCAACCTTGCTTATAATAAACTGGTAATGAATAGCCTTAGCTTTAATTAATTTAGTATAGATATTAGCTAAAAGAATTGGCCATACACTACCGCTATTTTAAGCTAGTATATAGTATACCTTTATATACTAGTAACTAAAGTTAGCCTTTTTATACTACCTTATTAGACGTAACCTTAGTGTTCTTTAACTTATAATGTAAGCTATAGGCCTTTTATAAGCTTTTTAAAAGGTAGCACGTTTACGTTATAGCTTAGTAGTGAATAGAGTAGAAGCTGTATTGATATAGTTATGAGGCATAGCTCTTTATTATATATATGCAATTTACAATAACTTTAGTAAACGACTAAACTAATAATATTTATTAGCTTTAGGTAGGTAAGATAATGTCCGCGTCCTATATCAGGGGTTTTCTTTAGCGTGTCTTTATATCTTTACCACTATGTAAATTCGAGCAGTACTTCTATCAGTACTAACGGTCGTTTTGACAGGCCTTGAAACCCTATGTTGGTTAAAAGTGATTTTGCCACGGTTCAGACCTAGTAAGTGCACCGCGGGCAAGTCTGACTAAAATCCTATCTACCTCGTATACCCGTATCATTTCATTTGTTTCACTATACGAGTATACAGAGTACGGAGTACGATATCATATAGATAGGAAGGCATTTCGGTCCGATTTTGTCTCTTTCCTTTTCCTTGCTAGCTTCCTCGTATTTTACTTATTATTATCATATGTTGGAGGCAGCCATACTCGGTACAATCCTAGTTACCGTAGTATTGTAAAATCAAGCTACCAGTAACTCGTATTAGCCTGTCCACATTTGCACACGCCCTCGGCTACTCCGTACGTCGTAGGCAAGCTTTTCAACCAGTATTATTTGTAATGCTTACGGAGTACAGATAAAAAAACCATCTACGTCGTATAACGACAAGTCTCTACGGAGTTCCTATAACTGTATCATAGCTTGTCGGCTATATAAATGGTGCATCCAATACTCTAGCATGCATAAACTATCACTCCTAACACATCGTTTTCTTGCTCATCTGACAAAATGGTTTTCTTAAAAAAACCGATCTTAGTATGGTCCTTGATGATAAGTGTGCTTGGACGTATATCGACTGCGGTGGACGTTGAATAGCAAGTGATACCCTTTATTCCCACTACCCTACCCCTACCGAATCTAACCACAAATAGCGATATCATTGTTGTTGGAGGCGGTCCTGGCGGCATTGTCTCGGCAACAAAATTTGCGGAAGCTGGGCTTAACACGCTGTTGCTTGAGCATGGTGGCCCTATGCTGTGGCGCGATGGAAATCGTGAGGTTCCAGCTTGGACACAGAAAGAATACCCAAACAACACGTTAACCAGGCACGATGGCATGGTCTACTACCTGGCACCTAGCGATGTGAACTACTACTGCCTTAATCTGCCAACCGGCCAGCGTGCAGCGTGCCAGCTAGGTGGTGGCACATCTGTTAACGCTATGCAGCAATGGTGGCCACCGCGCGCCTACCTTGAGAACACATTTGACTTTGACGGATGGACTGTGGCCGACTTCGACGCGGCAATTCATAGAACGGTTAAGCGCATCCCCCACACACCATATTGGTCTACCGACAACAAGGTAAAAAATACCAAGAGCTTTGTATGCCGAAGTTTACTAGTTTACTGCAAGCTGACAGTGCGCTAGTTTTATCAAGACGAGGTGTACGGCCTGATGTCTAATGTGCTGTCCTCTATTGGTCTCAATGAAGTGAATAACACAGTAGATGTGGACAACAAGTACAATACTTTTGGTCGCGACATGTTTGCTCAGGCAGGTGGCCAGCGAGGAGGGCCGTCGGTCGGCTATCTACAGGATGCTAAGCGACATCCTAATTTTACACTAAAGCTCTACAGCCCTGTCACACGGGTTGTTCGGACAGGGAGCCAGATCACAGGCGTGTATGTCAATGGCACGATTATCAAGGCCAAGAATGTCGTCCTCTCTGCCGGTGTTTGGAACACCCCCGCTCTACTATTTGCCTCTGGCATCGGCCCTGTGTCTGAGCTGATTACGGCAGCTGCCATCGGCTATACGCCCTACGAACAGAATGAGTGGATTATTAACAATGCCGTTGGAGCTAATCTGCACGATAACCCGACCGGCCTTGTCAGCTTCACATATAATGACACTAAAGCCCTGCCATACTATAACATTACAGGTTTCTACGATGGCAGCAACTACATTAAAGCCGACGCGGATTTGTTGTTTAGCCAGCGTGCAGGACCGCTTACAATTGTGCCACGCATCCTATGCGGCTGGATTAAGGTGGCTTACCCTCTTGATACGAGCAAGTATATGAACATTCAGGTTATTTGTTCTTCTCCGAACGTCGAGGATGGCTCCTTCCAATGTCAATTCAACCTAAACGAGGGCGCGCTCAGCCGTGGCCGGATCACTCTCAATACTACTGGCACGCTAAGCTTCGCCGATGGGGCGGGGCCTTGGTTGACCGATCCTAATGGACTGGATGTGGAGCTCTATGCGCAAGCTCTAGAGCGGTTCGTCAATGGTTCTAGTAAATACCCTGGGCTTACTGTGACCGATCCCGTCCCTGGCACTATCCAGTCTTACCGTGAGTGGCTCGGGGAACACGCGAACAAAACCAACAATCGTAAGTGGCTATTCGTCCTCCGCCGTTTTGGTTTTAAAAATATTTGTGCATCATTTCAGTATGGCTAAGAATTCTAGACTGGGGTGGTTCGTGTACAGTTGGAACAAGCGATGGCACCAAATACAACAACGGCTCGTGTGCCGACATTAACGCAAAGGTCTACGGCACAGACAACCTATTCGTCATAGACGGCTCACTAAGCCCAGCGCCAACGACCTCCAATCCAACGTTTCTATACGAGGCAATGGCGGAGCTTGCCAGCGAACGCATTATCAACCTACTAACGGTGAACAGTTAGCTATAGCAGCGGTATGCAGGCGTTGTATCCGTGTATATGTTTGCAAGATATTCTGCATTTACTTGTCTAAAGGATTAGAAGATCGGTGTCCTTTCGTATGTACTAAATTTTTTTTATAGAAGATACGGAATAGTAGGGTGTTGAATAATATATTTACTATACAGACGCGGCGGGCGTCGTCCTAGACATTGTTATAGCTACATGTTCGCACTTTGGCGTATTGCTGCACTGTTAGTCTAGATGTGCCGGTTGTTGCCGGGAACTGTCCTAAACAATTCCATGCTAGTGCGGCCACAACATTGCTATAGTGTTTGTGGCTACGGAGTACGGAGTACTTCTCCCGTTTTTTTTAAGCAGCCTACCGGAGTAGCCCACCGGAGCAGCCCATCGGGCACTAGTTGAATTAGCCGGACTCCGCCTCGTGTTAAGCATAGGAATATGCCCCACTTGGTCGTACAAGCCTGTGATTGGTCAGAAGGCACAGACGCGGGGTATGGCACTAGTATTAATACGGACCCCTAGAAGGGTCGGAATATATTCATTTCTTCCTTAGCACACAACAATTTTTGCATACTCTGTACACCTTACCTTATTTAGCCTTCTGCTCCTTTTAGTGCAACCCGTTATATAATTGCTATGTATTGCCCCTTTTAAGTTTTATATAAGCCTAGCCTAAGAGGACTAGGAGAAGCTAAACTAAATTTTTTATAATACGCTTTGTAAAGCCTTAGTGCTTTAAGCACTAATCTAACGGACGAAAGAGCCTTGTTAAGATAACTAAGGTTATATTCATAATCTTGGCTAGCTAGAATACAACATTTAGCCGCAAACTAAGCAGTAAATCTTTAATTGTTAAATTAAGTGCCAAGTATAAGTTAAGTAATAAAAGTAGTATTTATATAGCTAATAAGAGCAGTATTTATAAGGCTAAGCTTAATAAAGACCTTTAAAATAATAAAAACAACGATAGTAGTAAAGAACTAAAATAGTAGTTAAAAGTTTTTAAATTGTTTCTTAAAATTAAAAAATTAAAAATTAAAACCTGAATTATAGTATAAGTTAGTATTACTTATAATTTAATTTAAGCTAAATTAATATATATTAACTTATTTATAAGCTATTACTTAAAGTAAGTACTAAGGCTGACTATAGTATAAGTTAAAATAAGTAAGAAAAAACTATTTTTAAAGGCCTTAGCGTAAACTAATAATATATACTTACTAATATATATACCTATATATATAAAGAGGCACTATAACGCACCTTCCTATACAATAAGCTAAGGTTGTATATAGTTAGTTTAAAAGATAAGAAGAAAAGCTTTCTAAGCTTATCTTAGAATCTTATGAAGGAAGATAAGGTAAGCTTGCCTAGTATAGTTATAGGTAGAAGTGGATAGCGCTCTTTTAAATATATTAAAAACTTGCCCCACTAACTAGATTTCCTAGCTTACAGTATAAAGGGGTATGTTATCTTTAATAGCTAATACTGTATTAGGCTGTAGCTTAATATAAAGCCTTAGCCCTACCCTTAGTATATTCTAGAAGGTTATTCTTACTATAGCCCCTCTTACAGCCACCGCCTATAGGCTATATATAGCTTACTAAGGACCTTGCCTACTACGTAGAGTTACTAGTAACTTACGCAAGTAAGGACGAGAGGCCTTCTTTAAAAAGAACTTATAAGATAAAGAAAGAAGAAAAAGGAAGAGACGTATATTAAAAGAAGATAAAGCTAGCTTACTTATGTAGATATGTCTTCTTCTTCTTCTAGAAACTTGGTTTTTAACTAGTTTAATCTACTTAATAGTAACTTTTTCTATTAGGCTAAAAGTCTCATATAAAACTAAGCTTAATTGTTTAAACCTTTTTAAACATCTTTAACCCTTTAATACGTTTAGAAGTAATTATAAACTTTAAGCCTTTATTATACTTCTTTAATTTTTAATATTAAAAGCAAAGGTAAAGTAAGGCCTTTACTTAAACTAACAACAATACATACACGTAACTATACACAAATAAAGATACTGTAAGGCACCTTCCTTTATCAAAAGGTAGGGCAGTATATGGCTAGTATAAAAGGGAAAAGGAAGGAAAGCTATATAAGATTATTTTAAGATCTTAAAAGAGATAGCAAGACAAGCTTGCTTAGTAATGTCTTAGGCATAGTCTTTGCTTTATAAGTATACTATATATATATCTTTATGACTAACTAATTAATTGCGTGTATACATACGTATCTCTCCCTTTCTTACAAAGAAGAAAGAAGAGAGGGTTCTATATATTTAAAGTATATAAGTAGTAAAAAAAGGTATAAATTTTTTTATATCTAATTAATTAAAAAAAGTAAAGTTAGTTATATAATAATATAACATCTTATAAAAAGTCTTAACTTATTATCCTACATAGCTAAAATAAGTAATCCTAAAACTTTACTTCTCTTATTACTTACTTCTTCCTTAAAACAATTTATACCTTTTACTATAAAAAAGGGTAGGTAAGAAGAGATAAGAAAGTAACTAATTATTATAAGGATAAAAGAAAAGCAGGCTATACCTAGCAAATATATATTTAAGAAAATTAGTACTTTGTTCCTTAAATACATATGAAATTAAGTTTAACTATTAGCTATTTTAACATTCTTTTTAATCTTTTTAGTATTATATTTAACTAGATACTTATTAGTCCTAGCGTAGTAACGTTTAGTAAATATTATCTAGCTAGTTTACTCCTTTAGCGCTACTAGCGTAACTATTATTATTATCTTAAAATTTAAGGTAAAAAGGGGTAAGGACTATTTTATCTAATTCAATTTAACTATAATATTCATAACTTACTCTACTATAGTTTTCTTAACTTTACTATATAAGTTATCTAGTATAGTAGTAATAGAGTTATTGTTTATACTTAGTTTATAGCTCTTCTTATACTTTAACATTTATAAGCTTTTCTTTACTCAGTCTTCTTTTATTACTTTACTTATTATTCTTATATTTAACGTATAGCTATACTTTATTTATTAGTTGTCTTTATTAGATACTATAATGTTTAGACTTATAGTATTAACTAGTATTATTAAAAGTAGCTTTATAATAAAAGTAAGCTTAATAATAAAAGCTAACTTTAAGGAAAGCGCTAAGGTAATCTTAGCTACGAAGGCTTTTTTTCTTTAGTAGTAGATTAAAGCGCTTATTTTAAGGTTAGCGTAAGAAGCTTAGCTAGTCTTTTTTATACTATAGTTAGTCTAACTACTAGTAACGCTGGCCTAAGTATATAGTATACTAAGGCATCCACTATATTAATATTGTAAGTCTCTTACACTAAGGAGTTTTATTAAGCTACACAGTGCACGATGTGCCTTAGGCAGCTACAACCTTACTAATAAATTAGATCGAACTGAGTATAAGGCAGTTATAAGCTAAAGTGCCTTAGGCAGGCTACTTAAGCTACACCATATAATAATATAGTAATAGTACTTATAGCAACGCTGTAGTTAAGTTGCGCTAAGCTAAGCTATATAGGTTTAAAAGCATAAGGCTTTCTTAAAGAACTTAAATTAAGATGCTTAGTAAATGTTAAAGATAAATAAGAGGATTATCATGTAAGATAAAGTTCTTAATTGCTTTTATTTAAACAATACGTTAAGCTTAATTAAAGTGCTTATATATAGTAATGCGTAATACAATAAGCAGACTACGCTATATAATATAAAGGTTAAAACTTAAAAATAAAAGCAGAGTGCGTAAATAAGTGCGTAAATATAATAATGCTATATTATATACTTACTAGACTATTATATTAAAGGTATATAAGGGTAGTTTAATTAGTAAGAGCCTTTCGTATCTTAGTAAAAGACGTAGCTAACTATTTAAATAGTATATAATGTATTATAGTAAGAAGTAAGTATTATAGAATAAACTAAATCAAGTAAAAGTAAAAAGAAATGATAGTAAAAACACTAACTTTTTAAGCGTCTTAGTTAAGTAGTTTAATTAGTGATATAAAGTAATTTAGTATTACTTTACTTAAGTAGTTTAAATATAGTGTATAAATATTTAAAAATAAGATAAAAGAATAAAACAGAATAAGTAAATAAAAGTAAAAGAAAATAATAATTTAAAAAGAAACTTTAAATATAAAACTTAACTATACTAGCTAAGCTATATTTTTCTTTACCTTTTCCTTTATTTTAGTCATTAGTAAGTTGATTAACTTTTTTTATATATTGTAGTTAGTTAGCTAAAGCGTAAGCTTCCTTACTAGCCTACTATCTAAGCTAATAAGGCTAGTATAGTAAAAAGTAATATAGCGTAAGTAATATAATATATTTATATATTAGTATACTCTAAGGTAACAAAGGTATTATAGTTTATTCTGCTATTATCTAATTTATATACAAATGTTAATAATAAAGTTAGTCTTAACTACTTTAATTGCTTTATTAATAGTATTAAAGAGTATAATAAGGCGCTATATCTTTGCTTACTTCTTTTCCTTTTAAGTCTTACATAGCTTTAAGATTATCATAGTATAAGAGTATTTAAATGCTATTAGCTAGTAGCTTAGTTATATAGACGCTATAGCAATCTAGGCTAGCTATAGCGTATCCTATTAAAGGCATACTTAAAGAAAAGCGTTAAAAATCTTATTAAAACTTACTACCTTATATAAGAAAGTGCCTTTAACAACTTTAGCAATCTTATCCTTAGTGATTATTTAAGATATAATATTCTAGGCCTAGTTTACTAGTTTAAGTTAAAAGGTTTTGCTTATAATATTAAAAAGAAATAAGCTAATAGTTCTTTTATCTTTTATCTTTTTATTATAATTACTTATTATTCTATTTACTTTATATAATAAAGAAAGGTATATAGCCTTTATAGGCCTATAGCTATATAGTCTTACCTACTGTTTCGGGCGCTAGGCTAAGTTCTTACCTTCTAACGTAGCGTAGACTACACCTTGCTAGTAAGCTATACTTATATCTTAAAGCGTATATGC